TTGTAGAGAGAACCACAGTGTGATGCTTACGGGAGAGCCATGAGATTAGACTACTTGCAAGCATAGTCACATATCCACCGACGGCGCTTCTCGTGGCGGGGCAATAGCATAATCAGAGTCACTGTAGGCATTCAGTTGATCAGCTAAGTTTTCTTTAGTAATGTCGGACGAGCCTCCCAGAAGAAGACCGTATTCTTTCGTCCCCGACAGATACTTAAGTCCACGAATGACTGCTTTCCAGTGTTCCATGCCTGGATTGGCTAGGAACTGACTGACCTCGCGCATGTAGAAAGCCATGTCGGGTCGTGTTCCAACCATTAGGTACATGACACTGCCTACGGCTTGGCGATACGGAATTGATTTCATCGCATCTTTCTCTTGCTCACTGCTAGGTTGGCTGCTTACGGAGAGTTTGGCGTTCCGTTCTGCTGGTGTTGCAATAAGAATGTAGTCGCTGAAGCGGTCAATGACCTTCGTAGCGAACTTGTCGTGGTGAATAAATATCGTTCAGTTCTTATGGTCACGTGGAATGGACCAGCCGAGTAAGTACTTCACCTCCCCTAAATCTGACATGGAGAATCGTTTTTTCAGGGCTGATTTCAGCTCACTGACGAGTGCTGGTGTAGGTGCAATGATCAGTAAGTTTCGACGTACACTGCAATATAGCAAGTGAGGTTGTCAACTGTGCGTCGAAAGACACACCGATCTTTAATGAGTTTCAGGAACCCAAGGCTCTCTAGGAAGGCAGATAAGGTTTGGTACCAGACACGGGGTGCTTGTTTCAACCCGTATAAGCTCTTAAGAAGTTTGCACACTAGGTGCTCCTTGCCCGGGATTTTGAAACCTTCCGGTTGAGCCATGTAGATCTCCTCTTCCAAGTAGCCATTAAGGAATCCTGTTTTGACATCCATTTGGTGGACTTCAAAGTCAAGAAGAGCTGCAATAGTGAGCAGTAGTCTCAGTACCTCCATCATGATAACAGGAGAGAAAATCACATTGTAGTCGATGCCAAATTCCTGTAGGAACCCTTTGATCACCAGACGCACTTTAAAGCGGTCAATTTTGCCAGTGTCGATATACTTCACGACGAAAACCCATCGGCTACTTAAAATCTTCCTCCCTTTAGGAGGGGTTACCAACACCCAAGTGTTATTGTCCATGAGGGACTTGTATTCCGATTTAGCTGCTATGTGCCACTGATTAGCATGGGAAGACTTCATTGCCTCCCGATACGTAGTGGGCTCTGACACATACCGAATGGCTAGTAATGTGTACACTACATGCTTACGTTGCTCCTGTTCGTGGGTGCCTTCCCCAGAGTTGAAGGTTACATCACAGGCTTCCTCAGAGTTGAGGCGTGTGTCGGTGGCTTCCGCAGTGAGGCGGGAACGCCTAGGAGCTGAAGTATGCGGAGGATCAGAGTCCGTCACCGTTCGAAATGAATAATGAATGGC